TGAGATGTCACCTCACATCTGTCACTATGGCTATTATCAAAAGGACAACAAATAACGTATTGGCAAGGGTGTGGAGAAAAGGGAAGCCTCAGACACTGATGGTGGGAATTTAAATTGGTGCAGGCACTATGGAAACCAGTATGGAGATTCCTTGACAAATTATAAATAGAACTACCATAGGATTCAGGAATTCCACTCCTGCATATTTGTCCGAAGAAAATGAAAACACTAATTAGAAAAGATACATGCATCTCTATGTTCACTACAGCATTATTTACAATAGCCAAGATATGGAAGCAACCCAAGAGCCCATCAATAGATGAATGGATAAAGAAAATGTGATATACATATATATACAAATATATATGCACATATATAGGGTTTCCCAGGTGGCACTAGTGGTAAAGAACCTGCCTACCAATGCAGTAGATGTAAGAGACTTGGGTTTGACCCCTGGGTCAGGAAGATTCTCCCTGCAGGAAGGCATGGCCACCCACTCTAGTACTCTTGCCTGGAGAGTCCCATGGACATAGGAGCCTGGAGGGCTACAATCCATCGGGTTGCACAGAGTCAGACACAACTGAAGCGGTTTAGCACACACACACACACACAAGCATGCACGTATATACAACAGAATACTGCTCAACCATTAAATTAATGAAATCTTGCCACTTGCATCAACATGGTTGCACCTAGAGAGTGTTAAGCTAAGTGAAATGAGTCAGACAATCACAATTTATGATTTCACTTATATGTGGAACCTAAAATACAAAACAAATGAACAGCCAACCGTAATGAAACAGAGTATAGATAGAAGAAACGGGGTTGCCAGAGGGTGGGGGGCGGTGAGAGGGGAGTATGGAAGTGAAATAGGTGAGGGAGAGTAACAGGTACAAACTTCTAGTTGCAAAGTAAATCAGTTACAGGTATGAAATGTACAGTGTGGAAATATAGTCAGTGACTATGTAATATCTTTGTACAGTGACAAAAATAACGATGCTTCGTGATGTTCAGTCTGAAATGTATAGAAATACCAAATCACTATGTTGTCTAACAGGAACTAACACAATTTTAGAGGTCAATTATACTTCAAAAACACAGAAAAAAAACTCATAGTAAAGAGATCAGATTTGTGGTTACCAGAGCCAGAGGCAAGTTGGGATGGATGAAGGCAATCAAAAAGTACAAAATCCCAGTTAAAAGTAAGTACTAGGGATATAATGTACAATGTAACTAACACTGCTGTATGTTATATATGGAAGTTGTTAGACTAAATCCTAAGAGGTCTCATCACAACAAAAAATGTATTTTTAAAAATTTTTTAATTGTGTATCTCTGTGAGATGATGGATATTCAGTAAATTTATTGTGGCAAGCCTTTCGTGATGTATGTAAGTTAAAGCATTATGCTGTACACCTTAAACGTATACAGTACTGGATGTCAATCACATATCTCAATAAAGTTGGAAGAAAAAGAGTGACAGACTCAATGAGTGAACCCAGGAATAAGATTGGGATACCGCTGGAGTTTCATGGGGTAGGAGTGGGTTTGGCATAATATTCTCAACACAAATCCGAAACTCTACCTAAGCGCCAAAGAAGGGCTGTTAACCCTGGTGCAGCCTTGAAGACCGCGATCCCAGAGCAGCCTCAAGTGGACCTGAGGAGGCGTCAGCAGTGAGCCGCCCGGCCTGAGGGGGGCGCCCTCCGAAGCGGTGGAGCACGCCGACGGCCGGAAGGGCCGGGCAGCCGGGTCTTTGCCTTCACGAAGTGGGGGTTCTCTGCAGGTGTGGGAACGGGGTAGAGGACCCAAAGCTGGGAGCAGCGTTGCCGACAGCGCTTCGCAGAAAAGGCTTGGGCCGAGCTTGGGCCTGCCCTCACAGGGGTGTCGGCAGGCAGACCGGTCAGCTGCCAGGGAAGCCTGACGCCCGGAGGCCCAGGTCAGACGCGTGTCTGAAGCCGCCTGCCGCTCACGGTTCTGACAGGGCGGGCAGAGCCGAGTCTCCTCCTCTGCTGACCCTCCCGCGCCTGGGGGCTAGGCGCCAGTCCGTCAGGCCGGGTAGGTGCCCTGCTGACAGCCCAAGACTCTGAGTGGGAAGGGGGGCAGGAAACTATATTAACTTCTTGTAAATCAATAGGAAACAGTGGAACCTTTGGGTCAAAGAAAAGGGGTTTGGTTTGGTTTGGTTTTTCTTACAAGGGTGGGGGAACGAAATCTGAGGGCCTGCGAAAATGTTTTAAGTTTTTTTCTTTTAAATGAGGGTTCACGAAAACAAAGGTGCCTAGGATCATGAAATTTTTAACCATTGACTCATAACACGTAAAGTGTCCAATATAGAAGTTACAGGCGCTTTTATAGGGGCTTATTAAAGGGTCCTAAGCTATTCAGACCTGAAGTTTGAGACCTAACGGATGAGTAGGGTTAAGGAGGGGACCAATCAAAAGAGAATATCCAGAGGCAGGATCCAGAGCAAGCGGCCAACGGCCTTGGGGAGGTGAAGGGGGCAGGCAAGGGCAAGGAAGGTGGAGCAGGGGAGGGGGTTGGCGAGTTGTCGCATGGCAGGAAGACAGAGAGTTGGGAGGAAGATGCCTGCAAAATTTCAGATCCAGGGTAGAGATGTCAGATTTTGTCCCAAGTGTATGTTGAAGCCATTGAAGGGTTTTTTGGTAAGGGAGTAACTTGATGGCTTTTGGTGGTTCAAGGCCCAGATTTAACCTGTTTACAGAGGAACATCAAAGAGTGGGCATTCTTGTCAAAAGTGGAAAATATAGGATCACAAATAGTCAGATGCTGCTTAGAACCATGCCCAGACGCATTAGATGCATTAATTTATCGTGTGTGATGATACAAGGAAGAAAGTGCCTTTTACTCCATTTAAAGAACAGTATTGGAATTGTACAGTCTAAAAATGACTGTGGGGTGGGATGATGAATTGGGAGATTAGGATTGACATATATAGGAAATGGGTTGCCATTTCCTTCTCCAGGGAATCTTTTCAACCCAGGGATTAAACCTACACTCCTGCATTTGTTGTTCAGTCGCTCAGTTTGTCTGATTCTTTGCGACTGCATGGACTGCAGCACCCCAGGCTCTGCTCAAACTCAAATCCGTTAAGTCGGTGATGCATCATCTCATCTTCTGTCAACCCAGTCTCCTCCTGCCCACAATCTTCCTTAGCATCAGGTCTTTTTCAATGAGTCAGCTCCTCACATCAGGTGGCCAAAGTATTGGAGCTTCAGTTTCAGCATCAGTCCTTCCAATGAATATTCAGGGTTGATTTCTTTGGCAGGTGGATTCTTTACCACTAAGCCACCTGGGAAGCCCATCTCTAAGACTAAAATTTAATAAAAGATGAGACCTTTGGGGAAAATTATGAAATTATAAAATCTGTAGATTCTTTTAGATTTTCTGTATGAACAATCAATCATACCATCTTGGCAAACAGTGAAAGTTTTATTTCTTCCATTGTAGTGCCTTTTTTTTAATGTGCCAAGTTTATTTGTCTTGCCTTACTGCTACCTTCACTACTGTGTTGACGTGATGATAGCAGCCTCCTTGTCTTGGAAAACTTTCAGCATCAACATTAAGAACTGTATTTGCTTGTTTTTATAAACATTTTATCAGATTATTCCTATTGTCCTAGTTTACTGAGATTGATTCTTTATCATGTATGAATGTTTTGCTGCATCTATTGAGATGATCATATAATATTTCTTATTTAATCTTTTAATGTGATAAATTTCAGTGACTTTTTCTAATGTTATGTCAACCTTATGTTCTTGAGATAAACCCAGCTTGGTTATGATGTGTTATTCCTTTTATATATTGCTTTTTTCAATTTGCTTATATTTTGCTAAGGATTCTTACTTCTAAGTTCATGAATGAGATTGTCCTATAATTTTTTTCTTTTAAAAAATTATCTGATTTTGGTATAAAATGTTATGCTAACCTACTAAAATGAGTGGTGTTCTCCTGTGCTCTGCAAGAATCTGTTTGAAATTCTTGATCTTTGAGAGTAATATGGAACTCATCAGTGGAATTATGTGGTCCTGTAATTTACTTCATGGGAACATATTTAACTACCAATTACATTTTTTCACTGGTTATAGACTATTTCTGTTTTTTAAATTTCTTTTTGATTTAGTGTCTGTTAAATATGGTTTCCTAGAAATTTGTCCATTTTATTAAACTTACTGGTATAAAGTTGTTCATTATATCCTTTTGTAACCTTTTCCATGTTTGAGTATTTGTAATGATGTTCCCTTCTCATTGCTGATGTTTGTTCCAAGTTTTCATTTGTTCTCCTTTCCAAATCTGAGCCCTGGGGATAAGTGTAAGTAGCCAGTAAAGAAAAAAGGCAGGGCTGTTGCAGGTAGAGAAAACAGCGTGAGCAAATGCACTGAAGTTAATGGTATATTTGGTTTTATTTCAGTGAAAAGTTTGAGGTAAAGAATAGCCTCCAATAAGACTGAAGAGCAAGTCATAAAGGGTTTTGAGTGAGTCTTAAAGGGTGAAAATGTAGTTATATTTTCATTTTTAAGAATTACTATGTACAAAACAAACACTTTGCTAAGCTCTGATATATAGGGTTGGTAATTTCTCTGTCCTTGGGAAGCTTGCAATACAGTGGGAGAGGCAGTCATAGAGACAAATTATACTATAGTACAATGCCAATAAAGAAACAAAGTTCATGAGGGCAGATAGCTTACTTTGAGGCTAGAGTTTGACTTTTTTGATTAGTTCCATTCAACGTTGCTAATCATCCTCAGCCTTACATTACAGGCAAACATCTAGATACTTTGGCAGCTGTTAAGATTAGGATAGCCTAGAGAAACTTAAGTCGTCACCTGGTTTGCCTTCTTTCTAGGCTTAGTCCCCTAGATCTGTGTTCATTGTTTCAACCTTCAGTTTTATGAAAACCAGTGATTTCTCTTTTCTTTCTTACAGGTTGTAGAGAATATCTCAGTGGTAGCTACAGTTCCACCTCTGGTCTGGCTGCCATGTATCATGGGCAAATAGCTAGTAAAAGGCCCTCTAATCCCACACAGATGTACCAGCAACCTCCAAGGCTTCTCATTGTGCATATTGCTCTACCATCCTGGGCTGACATCTGCTCCAACCTCTGTGAGGCTCTGCAGAACTTTTTCTCTCTAGCCTGCAGCTTGATGGGCCCCAGCCGCATCCCTCTCTTCAGCTTATACATTGTACAAAATCAGCACGAGTGCATCCTCCCTTTTGTGGTAAGTATATCTATACTTGTTTATTTTATCCTGAAAGCAGAGGTGAGAGTTCTGGAACAGACATCAGTTATTATTACTTACAGCAATAACTGCCCATTCCCCATACCCATAACCCACAGGCAACACAATGAGAGCCTCATGTCATCCTATACACAGGGGATTTGTACTGAAGGAAAAGAACTCCAGAATTATTAGTGAAAGTGAAGTCGCTCAGTCATGTCCGACTCTTTGCGACCCCGTGGACTGTAGCCTACCAGGCTCCTCAGTCCATGGGATTTTCCAGGCAAGAACACTAGAATGGGTTGCCATTTCCTTCTCCAGGGGATCTTCCCAACCCAGGGATTGAACCCGGGTCTCCCGCATTGTAGGCAGACGCTTTACCGTCTGAGCCACCAGGGAATCCCCCAAAATTATTAATATGAGAGTGTAAATAAGCCACCTCTTGCCCCCCACCTCCACTCCTGAGAGAGAGAAACCTTGGCATTTACAGTCCTTTGGAATGTAAGCAACTGACCTCTCTCATCCCCCTTTGAAATGTAAACACAAGGAAATAAATCTCTGAATTTCTTCAGAAGTCTCTGGCTACTCTACCACCCTTTAATTTTCAAAACTTGTCCTTTGACCCAGGTTCTAGTTTTTTGCTCAGGAAGCCCCATCAGTGCAGAAACATGAAAATATTGTTTACAAAGGACTCAGGTGAAACGCCCCCTAGTTTCAGAATGGGCTAAGGGCAATGCTTTTACCAAGCTCCCTCACACTTAGATAACACTTTTCCTCCTCAAACAAACGCAATTTTTTACTTCCTCCCCTTTACAAAGCTCAGAGTCTTAGGGATGGAAAAGACTTCAGAGGTTCTAGTAAATCTCCTTCCTGAGACAGCCTTGCTGTTGGGATACTCTGAAAAGACCCAGTGGAAAGCCGGGACTTTGATTCCTACCTAGTGTGAATAAGACTTCCTCCCACATAGTGTCCATGAAGCCATATGGTAGCCTGGACTCCCCTCAACCTATTCGACTTAACAGGGTAACTATCTCACCCACTCCCTGCTGAGGCGGTATTGGAGGCAGCGGAGTGGAGGCTGTGTGCAGAGTGGCAGTGAGGCATCTTTTTACTTCCAAGGCAGAGTGGTGCCAGTGAAAGCCGAGTGGGAAGCCGGGAGTTACAGGACTGTCTTCCTAGTGAAGTGTGTAATGGTAATGAAGCTTCTCTATGCCCAGGGTGTCAGTGGGGGGCATGTGAGGAACCTGAGCTTCCACCCCCACCCAGAGATAACCGGACACTCTCCCTTCTGGGATATAATTAGAGACCAGATAGAGTCACACCCAACCTGGCAATAATTATGTGGAAACCACTTCCTTCACTGGTGCAGTGACAAAAAAGTCCTGCTAAAACAGAAGATTTAAATAGGATTCATTCTTACAGCATAATACCCAAAGTGTCCAGAATACAATTTTAAAAAAAAAAATCCCATGATTATCAGGGAACAGGAAAATCCAAACTTAAATGAGACAACAAACATTGAGATAACACAGATGTTAGAATTATTTGAAAAGGATTTCAAAGCAGCCATCATAAAAATGTTTCAACAAGCACTTATGAATATGCTTAAATGGAAAAATATAAAGTCTCACCAAAGAAATAGAAATATAAAGAAAAACCAGGTAAAAATTTTAGAACTGAAAAATGCAATACTCAATTTTAAAAACAAAAATCTACTATAGATAGGCTAAAATGAAGAAGACAAAGGAACTTGAAAACAGAATAGAAATTACCCAATCTGAGTAACAGAGAGAAAAGAAACTTAAAAAAAATTTACAAAGCCTCAGGGATCTGTGAGACTATAACAAAAAGCTAATATATCATCACAGTCCAAGAGGAAATGGAAAGGAGGGTGGGACTAGAAAAATATTTGAAGAAGTAATCACTGAAAATTTCCCAAATTTGGCAAGAGTTATAAATCTAAAGATTCAAGAGGCTGCAGAAATCTATTCTAAGATACATAATTAAAATCCTTAAAACAAAGACAAAGAAAAATTCTTCAGAGCAGGACACTGACATCTTACCTATAAGGGAGAAACAATTCAAATAATAGATTTTTTTCATTAGAAACCATGAAGGCCAGAGGAAGTGTCACATTTTTCAAATGCTGAAAGAAAAGAAGAACTGCTAACGTAGAACTCTATCCAGTAAAAATATCCTTAAGGAATGATTCAGAAATCAAGATATTCTCAGATGAAGGAAAGCTAAGAGTTTGTCACCAGCAGACTTAACCTTAACAGAATTACTTAAGGGAGTTCTTGAAACAAAAAGGAAATTATAAAGGCTCTTGGAATATCCAGAAGGAAGAAAAAGTAGAAAGAATTAAAATATAGATAAATATAATAGATTTTCTATAGACTCTTCTAAATTATATTTGATAATTGAAAGAAAAATTATAGCATTGTCTGATATGGTTGTTAGTGTATATAGAAGAACTACTTAGGATAATTACATTATAAACGGGAGGATAAAAGGACTTAAGAAAATTAAGGTTCTTACACTTCATTCAAAATGATAAAATATTGACAATAGTATATACTATGATAAAGATGTATGTATAATGTAACAGTTAAAACAACCACTTAAAAAAAACAGGAGATGCTAGAGATGCGGATTTGATTGCTAGGTTGGGAAGATCCCCTGGAGTAGAAAGTGGCAGTCCCTCTCCAATATTCTTACCTGGAAAATTCCAAGGATAGAGGAACCTGGTGGGCTACAGTCCATGGGGCTGAACAAGTCAGACATGACTGAGCAATTGAGCGTGCGCGCGCGCACACACACACACACACACACACAGTGATAAAAGAGTCACAGAACAAGAAATAATCCTAAAATTTATAGGGAATCCAAAGGCCCAGGATTGTCAAAGCAGTCCTGAGGAAAAAGAACAAAACTGGAGGCATAACCACCCCACTCCCCCAGCCAGGACTTCAGACAATATTACAAAACTACAGGAATCAAAACAGCATGGGGGCTTCCTGGAGGTCCAGTGGTTAAGACTCCAGGCTCCCACTGGAGGGGGCATGGGAAGATCCCACATGCCACGTGGTGTAGACAAAAAGCATGGCACTGGCACAAAAACAATATGGATTGCTGCTGCTGCTGCTGCTAAGTCACATCAGTCGTGTCTGACTGCGCGACTCCACAGACGGCAGCCCACCAGGCTCCTGAGTCCCTGGGATTCTCCAGGCAAGAACACTGGAGTGGGTTGCCATTTCCTTCTCCAATACATGTATATGGATTAATGGAACAGAATAGAGAGCTAAGAAATTAGCCCACACACCTGCAGGCAATTAATCTTTAACAAAGGAAGCAAGAAGATACAATGAAGCAAAGACTGTGTCTTCAGCAAGTGGTTTTGGAAAAGCTGGACAGCCAGGTTTAAACCAATGAAGTTAGAACACTCCTTCACACCATATATAAAAATAAACTAAAAATAGCTTAAAGACTTAAATATGAAGCATGGCAGCATAAAACTCCTAGAAGAAAACATAGGCAAAACATTCTCTGAAGTAAATTGCAGCCATGTTTTCTTAGGTCAGTCTCCCAAAGCAAAAGAAATAAGGGCAAAAACAAAGGAGACCTAATCAAACTAGGAAACCATAAACAAAATGAAAAGACAACCTACAAAATGGGAGAAACTGGAAATTATGTGACTGACAAGGGCTTAATGTCCAAAGTATACAAACAGCTCTATAACAAACATTTCTTTAAAAAAAATAAAATGAAAAATGGGCCAAAGACCTAAATAGACTTTCTCCAAAGAAGGCATATAGATGACGAAGAAGTACAGGAAAAGATGCTTGATAATGCTAATTATTAGAGAAATGCAAATACTAATGACTGCAGTGAGGTATCACCTCACACCAGTCAGAATGGCCATCATCAAAAAATCTACAAGTAATAAATGCCTGAGAGGTTGTGGAGAAGAAGGAATCCTCCTACACTTTGGTGGGAATGTAAATTGGTGCAGCCACTATAGAGAACAGTATGGAGGTTCTTTAAAAAACTAAAAGTAGTTACCATATGATTCAGAAATCCTGCTACTGTATAGCTAGGGAACTATGTTCAATATCTCATTCACTTTGCTATACACCTGAATCTAACACAACACTGTATATCAACTATAATTTTTTTTTAATTTCCAAAAGAAAAAAAATCAATCCAGCAAGAAGACAACAATCTTTTTTTTTTCATACTTGTTTATTTTTGGCTTCATTGCTGCTCATGGACTTTCCCTAGTTGCAGCAAGCAGGGACTGTGCTCTAGTTGCAGCGCACAGGCTTCTCATTGTGGTGGCTTCTCTTGTGGAGCGCAGACCCGAGGCTCACAGGCCTCAGTAGTTGTGGCTCACAGGCTCTAGAATGAGGGCTCAGTAGGGGCTTGGTTACCCGACGGCAGGCAGAATCTTCCCGGATCAGGGATCAAACCTATGTTCCTGGCATTGGCAGGCAGACTCTTGACAGTTGGACTGCCAGGAAAGTCCACGAAGACAGCAATCTTAAACCTGTACCCACTAAACAACAGAGCTGCAAATGTCTATTAACTCGTGAATGACTAAACAAACTGTAAAATTCTCACTCCATAAAACTGGAGTTTCGTACAAGCACTGAGGACAGAGTGAAGGTGACAGTGAAGTTTACAGCCATACGACCCGTATGACAAGTGTGTTCTTCGGCTGTGCCATTTTCCTTGTGAATGTCTGTCCCATGACCACACTTGGCTGTTATGTCTATCTTCTGTTGGGCAGCAGGGGTAGAGAAAGGTTGAGAGTGGTCTGGAAGGGCAAATAGAAAATATCCAGCATAGGAAGCTTCTGGGAGATGAGCTTATGTCCCAAACAAAGGTAAAAGGATTTTTATTTCCTTCTAGTGACTATGTTCTGTGCCTCTGGTACTCAGCACATTTGTCTCTAGGTGTATCCCTTGATCCCTTAATCACTCTGTTAGGAAAGACAGACA